CCAACACCGGCACAACACATCGCAATGTCCCATTCACTCCGCCCAAATATGAACGCGCTGAAACAAAAACACAAAACAATATCACTACAATCATTCACCAAAAATTCACATGACAACTACTACACTCAATCACACAACCACCACCAAACATCACAAAAAAACTTCAACCACGCACAACACATTTAACCAACCAATCCATCACTCACTCATTCCCACCTCACACCATAACATCTCAACACTGGCAAGCGCACAAAATCACCTTGCCCAAATCACCAACACCACTATTCTCTGCACTAAACACTCACATTTCTCTTCCACTCTCAACTTCAACACCTTACTACCTATCACCCGAGAACTCACACTCAATTAATAAACACGTCGCATTCACAACACGCATTACCACGCCTCCGACCATATCACAACTACCACTCACACCTACAGCACAAACAAGTCCAACAGGCACAATCTCATCAGCAGCAGCACCATCATCGTCATTATCACCAGAACCACACACTCGCAACACAACACCACAAATACAACACCGTCGTCTTCAGATATCACCTCAGCACTATCCAGTCAAATCTCAGACTGGGGCGGTAAAACGATAATCATCATCAACAACAACAACAACAACAACATTACACTGTACACTGCACACTGCACACTACAAATACTCACCTCAAACTCGTCCGCACAACTCCACACATCATCATCTCAAACCACACCGGCACACACATCGCAATGTCCCATTCACTCCGCCCAAATATGAACGCGCTGAAACAAAAACACAAAACAATATCACTACAATCATTCACCAAAAATTCACATGACAACTACTACACTCAATCACACAACCACCACCAAACATCACAAAAAAACTTCAACCACGCACAACACATTTAACCAACCAATCCATCACTCACTCATTCCCACCTCACACCATAACATCTCCACACTGGCAAGCGCACAAAATCACCTTGCCCAAATCACCAACACCACTATTCTCTGCACTAAACACTCACATTTCTCTTCCACTCTCAACTTCAACACCTTACTACCTATCACCCGAGAACTCACACTCAATTAATAAACACGTCGCATTCACAACACGCATTACCACGCCTCCGACCATATCACAACTACCACTCACACCTACAGCACAAACAAGTCCAACAGGCACAATCTCATCAGCAGCAGCACCATCATCGTCATTATCACCAGAACCACACACTCGCAACACAACACCACAAATACAACACCGTCGTCTTCAGATATCACCTCAGCACTATCCAGTCAAATCTCAGACTGGGGCGGTAAAACGATAATCATCATCAACAACAACAACAACAACAACATTACACTGTACACTGCACACTGCACACTACAAATACTCACCTCAAACTCGTCCGCACAACTCCACACATCATCATCTCAAACCACACCGGCACACCACATCGCAATGTCCCATTCACTCCGCCCAAATATGAACGCGCTGAAACAAAAACACAAAACAATATCACTACAATCATTCACCAAAAATTCACATGACAACTACTACACTCAATCACACAACCACCACCAAACATCACAAAAAAACTTCAACCACGCACAACACATTTAACCAACCAATCCATCACTCACTCATTCCCACCTCACACCATAACATCTCCACACTGGCAAGCGCACAAAATCACCTTGCCCAAATCACCAACACCACTATTCTCTGCACTAAACACTCACATTTCTCTTCCACTCTCAACTTCAACACCTTACTACCTATCACCCGAGAACTCACACTCAATTAATAAACACGTCGCATTCACAACACGCATTACCACGCCTCCGACCATATCACAACTACCACTCACACCTACAGCACAAACAAGTCCAACAGGCACAATCTCATCAGCAGCAGCACCATCATCGTCATTATCACCAGAACCACACACTCGCAACACAACACCACAAATACAACACCGTCGTCTTCAGATATCACCTCAGCACTATCCAGTCAAATCTCAGACTGGGGCGGTAAAACGATAATCATCATCAACAACAACAACAACAACAACAACAACATTACACTGTACACTGCACACTGCACACTACAAATACTCACCTCAAACTCGTCCGCACAACTCCACACATCATCATCTCAAACCACACCGGCACACCACATCGCAATGTCCCATTCACTCCGCCCAAATATGAACGCGCTGAAACAAAAACACAAAACAATATCACTACAATCATTCACCAAAAATTCACATGACAACTACTACACTCAATCACACAACCACCACCAAACATCACAAAAAAACTTCAACCACGCACAACACATTTAACCAACCAATCCATCACTCACTCATTCCCACCTCACACCATAACATCTCCACACTGGCAAGCGCACAAAATCACCTTGCCCAAATCACCAACACCACTATTCTCTGCACTAAACACTCACATTTCTCTTCCACTCTCAACTTCAACACCTTACTACCTATCACCCGAGAACTCACACTCAACTAATAAACACGTCGCATTCACAACACGCATTACCACGCCTCCGACCATATCACAACTACCACTCACACCTACAGCACAAACAAGTCCAACAGGCACAATCTCATCAGCAGCAGCACCATCATCGTCATTATCACCAGAACCACACACTCGCAACACAACACCACAAATACAACACCGTCGTCTTCAGATATCACCTCAGCACTATCCAGTCAAATCTCAGACTGGGGCGGTAAAACGATAATCATCATCAACAACAACAACAACAACAACAACATTACACTGTACACTGCACACTGCACACTACAAATACTCACCTCAAACTCGTCCGCACAACTCCACACATCATCATCTCAAACCACACCGGCACACCACATCGCAATGTCCCATTCACTCCGCCCAAATATGAACGCGCTGAAACAAAAACACAAAACAATATCACTACAATCATTCACCAAAAATTCACATGACAACTACTACACTCAATCACACAACCACCACCAAACATCACAAAAAAACTTCAACCACGCACAACACATTTAACCAACCAATCCATCACTCACTCATTCCCACCTCACACCATAACATCTCAACACTGGCAAGCGCACAAAATCACCTTGCCCAAATCACCAACACCACTATTCTCTGCACTAAACACTCACATTTCTCTTCCACTCTCAACTTCAACACCTTACTACCTATCACCCGAGAACTCACACTCAATTAATAAACACGTCGCATTCACAACACGCATTACCACGCCTCCGACCATATCACAACTACCACTCACACCTACAGCACAAACAAGTCCAACAGGCACAATCTCATCAGCAGCAGCACCATCATCGTCATTATCACCAGAACCACACACTCGCAACACAACACCACAAATACAACACCGTCGTCTTCAGATATCACCTCAGCACTATCCAGTCAAATCTCAGACTGGGGCGGTAAAACGATAATCATCATCATCAACAACAACAACAACAACAACAACAACATTACACTGTACACTGCACACTGCACACTACAAATACTCACCTCAAACTCGTCCGCACAACTCCACACATCATCATCTCAAACCACACCGGCACACCACATCGCAATGTCCCATTCACTCCGCCCAAATATGAACGCGCTGAAACAAAAACACAAAACAATATCACTACAATCATTCACCAAAAATTCACATGACAACTACTACACTCAATCACACAACCACCACCAAACATCACAAAAAAACTTCA